AAGGAGTCCTGCCTGTGGTGCAAGATAAGTCTAAGGACTACAAAGCCCACATGATTTTCTAACAGTAATATCTGAGAGTACAAGGGTGTTCTTATTAGGGCAGACTTGTAAGATGGGGATTTGTTCACGGCTAGCTGAGTTCTAGGACTCACTCAGCACGTGTTAGCGTGTACAATCTCCAAATTACTCTCTGTCCGAGCATTCACGCGTGCTTTCGAGCACCGTGTTTGTCACAATGAGTATCGCTTCTGAGCAATCTTGGAGGATCTTTATCATCCGCTGGATCAGAAGGTAGGGGAGGAACATGTAGAGGAGGGTTCCAGTTCAGATTACAGTGAAAGTGTCTCCGGAAGAGTTCATACCCCTGCCCACTTGGGAGCAGTAACAGAGGCATTTGGAGTTGGCAAAATTGGAGAAGATGTCCACTGTAGGCTTGCAACAGCAGGAGACTAGCTGAGTGTATACTTTTTGGAAAAGTTCACATTCATGCGTGAGAGTCATTGTGCAGCTGGAGATGGTCTGCTGTTTTGTTGTCTGTACCTGAGATGTGAGTTGTCAGAGGCAGAATCTGATGGGCAATACACAACTCCCATATGAGTCCTGACAGGTAAAAGAGACTTAGGGATTTGGTTCCTCCTTGTTAAGTTAACGCATCGCTGTGGTGTTGTCCATTGTGATTTGTACAGTATGGCCCTGTATGATACTTCTGAAGGCTCGCAGGGCTTTGAAGATGGCCTGAAGTTTGAGGAAGTTGATGTGATGAGTCTTCTCATGTGAGGACCATGTGGCTTGTACCTCTTTGTGGTGGCAGTCGGCCCACCATCCTGTCATACTGGCATCTGTAACTATGAGACAGGAAGGATGTGGCTGGTGAAAAGTGATGCAGAGGTGAATCATAGAATAATAGAATAGTTAAAGGGGCCTAAAAGACCATCAAGTCCAACCCCCTGCTCGATGCAGGAATACAAATCAAAGGATATCTGCCAGATAGTTGTCTAAATTCCTTTTGAATGCCTCCAGTGTTGGAGCATTCACCACCTCTCAAGGTAAATGGTTCCACTGCCGCAGTGCTCTAACAGTTAGGTCATTTTTTCCTGATCTTCAATGGAAATCTAGCTTCCTGTAACGTGAGCCCATTTTTGCCCCTCTTCTGTGTGACAGTCTTCCAAGTCTTTGAAAAGTATTATCATATCACCCCCTGCCTTCTTTTTTCAAGGCTAAACATGCCTCATAGGTTTCCAGGCCCCTGATCATCCTTGTTGCCCTCCTCTGAACTTGTTCCAGTGTTCCACCATCCTTCTTGAAGTGTGGTGTCCAGAACTGGGAGGCGTAACCAATACAGGGGAACTAGCACCTTGCGGGATTTGGAAATTATACTTCCATTGATGAAGTCTAAAATAGCATTTGCCTTAGTTGTAGCCACATCACACTCTTGGCTCATATTCAAATTGTGACCTATGAAAATTCCAAGATTTTTCTTGCTCATAGTATTCCTCAGACATCTTGTAACTGCGTGTTTGGTTCAATTTCCAAGGTGCAGTACTTCGCACTTATTCCTGCTGAATTTCATTCTGTTGTTTTCAGCCCAGTGCTTCAGCTTATCAAGATCATTTTGGAAATTTGTTTCTGTCTTCCAAGGTGTTATCTAATCCACCCAATTTTGTGTCATCTGGAATTTGTGATAATCATTCCCTGTTCTCTCTCATACAAGTCATTAATAAAAATGTTGAAGAGCACTGGACCCAGGACCGAGTCTTGCGTTATCCCCACTTGTTACCTCCTCCCAATTGGAAAAGGAGCTATTAATTATTGCCCTCTGAATACGATTTTGTACCCAACTATGTATACACCTGCCACTTGATCTATCACTTCCCACACCTAGTTAACTTGCTAATCAGGATTACCATGGTGTAGTTTGTCAAAAGCTTTACTGAACCCAAAACATATTATGTCTACAGCATTCCCTCTGTCTATCAGGGAGGTTACCTGATAACACATGATATCAGTCTGTCAGGATTTATTCTTGACAAATCCGTGTTTGCTTCCAGTTATTACTGCATTGTTTTCTAACTGCTTGTATAGTGACCATTTTATAATTTGTTCAGGATTTTCCCTAGAATCGACATCAAGCTGACTGGGCCTATAGTTCCCAGGTTCCTCTCTTTTGCCTTTTTTGAAGACAGGGACAACATTAGCCCTCCTCCAATCATCTGGTACCTCACCCATTTCTCATGATTTCAAGAAAATAATGGGCAGCCATTCTGAGATTTCTTCAGCTAGTTCCATCAGTAATCTTGGATGCAGTTCATCCGGACCTGGAGATCTGGACACATTTAAGGCACTAAGGTATCCATTGACTATTTGTTTATTAATCTCCAGCTTCAATCCTGTCCCCTCCACATTTGTCTGGTGGTTCACAGTCTGAGCTAAAAGACTGAGCTAAAATGGGAATTGAGCACCTCTGCCTTTTCTTTGTCATCTGTTATAATTCCTGCATCTCCACTGAGTACATATACCACTCTTTCTTTTCTTTGTCTTTTGCTTCACACATACCTGAATAATGCTTTTTATTGCTTTTAGTATCTAGCTGATGGATCATTCTCAGTTTTTGCTCTCCTAATACCATCCTTGCATTTCCTTGCTACTTGTCTGTACTCTTCCTAGGTGACCTGGCCTTCTTTCCACATCCTATGCATGTCTTTTTGTTTTGTTTTCAGATCCTCCCTGAGCTTTTTGTGAAGCGACCCTGGCCCCCCTTTTTTTGATTGTTTTTTTGCTGCCTCCCACCTTTCTTTCTTGTTGGAATTGTTTGCAGTTTTTCCTTTCGAATTTCCTTTTTTAGAAACTCCCACACTTCTTGCACTCCTTTTCTTGTTAAGATCTCCTGCTATGGGACCTTACTTATTCTTGTTCTCGCCCAGAGATCCCCTTACTACCACTTCCTCCACTGAGTCATCTCTATTGATTAGAATCAAATCACGGAGAGCTAGTCCTCCGGTTTCTTTCTCTACTTTTTATAAGAGAAAATGATCAACCACACAAGCCAGGAATTTCTTGGAAGGACCATACTTTGCAGAATTTGCCTCCCAACAGATGTCTGGATAATAAATTTTTAAAATTCCCCATCACTACTACATCATATCTCTTTGAAATCCTTGCAATTTGTTTTTCAAAAGTTTCATCCGCATCCTCTCCTTGACTGGGCTGCCATTAACAGCCTCCAACTACCATGGTCCCATTGTTCTTTTGCCCCAACTAGATTGATGCAGATGCTCTCAATGGGACATCCAATGCCCCCTCCTGTATTTCTGTGAAGGAATGTGTAATTTTTTTACAAATACTGCAGCTCAACCTTCCTTTCTTTTTTCTCTGTTCTTTTTTAACAATTTATAGCCTTCATTTGTTATATTCCAGTTGTGGGAGTCATCCCACCAAGGTTCAGTTACAGTGGTACCTTGCAAGACGATTACCCCTCAAAACGAAGAATCCACATGACGACGACGTTTTGCGACCGCCATTTTGCTTCACAAAACAGTGATTCGTATGGGGGAATTTTGCTGGACGACGATTTGGTCCGTGCTTCGTGGACCATTTTTTCTCAATATGACGATTTAAACAGCTGATCGGCGGCTTCCCTAAATGGCTTCCCTATGAGCGATCTTCGCAAAACGGGTGTTTTCGGGCCAGTTTTTCACAATACAACGATTTAAAACAGCTGATTGATGGTTCGCAAAGTGACTTTCCTATGGGCGATCTTCGCAAAACAATGATTTTTCCCTATTGGAACGCATTAAACAAGTTTCAATGCATTCCAATGGGGAAACAGTTTTCACATGACTATGATTTCACTAAACAGCGATTTTCACAGAACGGATTATCATCATCATGCGGGGCACCACTGTATTCCTATCAACTCATATTTACCCTTATGACGTTTACCCCATGGCCTCTGCTTGTTTCACCAAGGAAAGAGCTCACACGAGTATCCCAACACGTCCTTTACCACAACCCTCCTGAACTAAAATTTCCAGTTCTTCTTGTTTGTTTTCCATATTCCTGGCATTTGTATAGAGACACTGGAGATTGTGTCATTTGTTGCCTGTTTGTCTTTCTGTATTTTTCTTAATATTACTATTAATGGTGATGCTATTATTGACTCCCCTTTTGAGCAGTTTGGTCTGTTCCTCTTATTGTGAGTAAGGTTTCATCTATCTTTAACTCTGTGCTTGCATCTCTTTCCCCTTTACAATTCCGTTTAAAGTTCTTCATGTTGTGGCCAAACATATTCTTCCCAGTCCTTGTTAGGTGGAAGTAATCTCTTTCTAGCGGTCTTTCTTCCAAGCTAAGCCCCTGGTCCCAAAAACCAATTCCTTCATGTTGGCACCATCTTTGTAGCCAGTTATTCACTTGTAGTCTTTCCATTTCCCTTTCTATTCCTCTTCCTAGTACTGGTAGGATGGATGAAAAATCTATTTGGGCTCCAAAGTTCTTGTTTCCTTCCCAGAGCTTCAAAGTCTGACATGATTTTTTCAAAGCTCCTCTTGGCTGTGTCATTTGTTTCCATGTGGACAAGAAGAAAGGGATATGTATCTATGGGTTTTATGAGTCATGGCAATCCTTCCGTCACATCCGTTATCTGACCTCCAGGGAGACAGCATACCTGGCAAGGCCATGGATCTTCCCAGCATATTTCAGTCTCAATTCCACCCAGTTGATGTTAAAAAACCACAATTTTTAACATTATTTGCCATTGTTTTTTGTGTAACTATTTTATTTAACATCTTGTATTTTAATAATTTAATAAAATATAATTTTATTTGATTATGTTTGGAATCTGTAGTTTTTATATAAGGATAAGTAATGATAAGAGAAAAGTGAAACTAGAATGCTATCAAGATATTTTTCCTAATTACAGAGATAAGGGGACCATGTGCAAACCAATTCATTGTTAAATATTACGATATTATTAAAAATATATTTAAAACTATTTTTGTACTTACGGTGTAAGAAGCAATCATACTTGAAACATCGTCTACAAAAGAGAGTATGAAAGGAGTGCAAACTCTGCTCTCTCTGAACAGATTTGGCATTTGGTCCATCTATGTTTGGTGTGCACTCGGGAGGAAGAGCTCCTGGAAGCTGCTGTTCTGTAAGTTCTTTGTACCTACAGAAGAAATAAAAACTGTGGTCATTTTATGCAGTAAAAGTCCAGGCTTACCGTCTTTCAGTAACAAGTGATATACTGACTAAATAAAGGACTTTACAGTAGCATAAATGATCTAATTTAATATCAATCATCACAATATCTTCTTTGGCTAAAACTGTTATTTTCCACTGATGGCCCTGTCTATTGTCACTGGTCAAATTTCCTGTAACAAAGCAGAATAAAACTAGGTTAACTACATCTTTTAAAGTTATGTCAACACTAGCTAAAAACAGTCTAGCAAAATTCCTACTTGTTTAAAGGCACAAAGCTACAAATGTTTCTTAACATTCTCACTGAAGTCCATGGAAATAATTTCCCTTGCTTATAGGAATTCATTCATTTTTATAAAACCACATAAAACATCTTATACCAAGGAATAGCTGTGATTGTGATAGATCTTACTTTTAAAAAGAGACACATTCCTTACATCCCTTGAGCCCCCAAACCTCTCATACTCTCATCTATCTCCAAACTATGGACATTTGCACTGGGAGTTTTACAACCTCACATGTTGCCTGTAGTTTGTTTGGCTGAGAGGGACTGTCAATGTATACAGCACTAATCAACCTTTCATTCCTGCCTTAGAATTTAAAGAGAGCCCCACCTCTCTGCTAAGAATTATTTTTCTCCTTCTCATTTCTTGAAGTCAGTTGCTTGTGAAGATAATTTGCTGTTTTGCTGTTCCCAAAACATTTTTATTCTTTCTACTATCAGAGCGAGTTATTGAGATGGAAACTGCCAATTAATGAGAAAAGGGATGTACTACCTGGGAATTTGAAGCTCTGTGAGTCTCTGTAATTCTGCTGTGTATCAAAAAGGAGAAATTTACCAAAAATTCAAAATTCTAAAACAATTTGACAATGCAATTTGACTGCTAGGAATCACCCGAGTAGGCTTTGTCTAGGGGGGCGGGGTAAAAAGTAAAGGTAAAAAAAAGTAAAACTATTTTCTGGAATACTATCTGGCAACAGTACTGACAAGAGAGGTTAAAAAACAACAAAACTGTTTTTCAGGAAGAACAGAGAGCAATGGAGCAAGAAGAAAAAAGAAATGAGAGGTCCACTGTGTGGAAATGGTGGGGAAATGCTAAAGAGAACACATTGACTAACAAAGTTATTTCAGTGGGTGAGCATTTGTAGATTAAAATTCAATTCCTACTGTCTCTGAGAAGGAGATTTTAATCCACAAAAGCTCACACTACAATAGTTCTATTAAGTATTTACAGTACCACATGACTTTTGTTTTTACTTTTGCTGTGGAAACTCTCTTAAGATGCCAAGACTGAGAGGCAATATGGTTGCCATCTTCCAATATCTGTATGGATGTCAAGTGGAAGATGCAACAAGCTTCTTTTCTACTGCTTCAGATAAGCAGACTAAAATCAATGGATTTAAATTATGAAAGATATTTCAATTAAACATTAAGAGGAATTCTCTAATTGTAAGACTGACTTCATAGCGGACCAGAATATCCTAGAAGGCAATGGATTTTATTTA